CGGGTAGGTAACGCTCTCTACCCTGGGATGATCCTCTAAATATTTGGCTATACCTGCTGCGTTTTCACAATGCTTCTTCATCCTCATTGGTAGTGTTTCTAATCCTTGAAGAAGCAGGAAGGAGCTAAAGGGACTTGGGCATGCACCTATATCACGCTGAATAGTGTTCCTCATTTTCAGTAAATATGGGCTCTGACCATACTCGCCACCCAATTCTTTTGCCGCATCCAGCCACAAAATATTTCCATGGGATGGATCGGGTTCACACATTAAAGGAAATCGATCCTGATTTTTTTCCCAATCAAAGTTTCCACTGTCAACCACACATCCACCAATAGTATTCCCATGACCACCGATAAATTTTGTAGTAGAGTAAACGACAATATCTACACCTAAATTAAAAGGAGACGCTATATACGGAGTGATAGTATTATCAACTATTGTTGGCAGCCCTAAACTCCTTGATATTTCTGCTATCTCTCTTACAGGTATTGGCGTTAGCATTGGATTTGGAATCCCTTCCAAAAAGAAACATTTAGTTTTTTCGTCAGATGCTTCTAAAAAATCATTTGGAGCATCAGGATTTACAAACCTGGTTTCTATTCCCAGACGTCTCATAGTATGTGCCAGGAGATGCCAGGTTCCTCCATAAAGCCTATTAGACGAAACAATGTTATCTCCAGCCTCAGCTATATTCAGAATTGCGTAAGTAATAGCAGCCTGACCAGAGGATGTTGAAAGAGCCCCTACACCACCTTCAAAACTGGCTATCCTTGATTCAAATATGTCATTAGTAGGATTCATCAATCTTGAATATGTACGCCCTGGCTCTTTCAGATCAAATACATTTGCAGCTTGGTCTACCGACTCAAATGCAAATGCGCTGGATTGATATATTGGTGCAGATATAGCTCCGGTCGTTGGATCAAATCTTTGCCCAGCATGGAGTATAGAAGTTTCTCTTTTCATCATACTTTTCCTATTTTAAATTCAGCTCGGCATATCGACTTTTATTCTGATTTAATATCATTGAAATGATTGAAGGTTCTCCATCCGTTCCTTTTGAGAACAGACCACCAGACTCAGAACAGTGATTTTTATAATTTTCATCTTTAGATCTGATTTTATGTGCCTGAGGCAAAAGCCAGAATGGTGTAGCTGGGTATAGATGATGATCTAGATGAAAATGGTCATTGTTTATACCTGTTAATATTTTTTCCAGTCCGGTGCTTTTTCGGTTGCGTGTCATATACAAGTCAGTGGCTCTACTTTCTGTAGATGAACAATGCTCAGAAAGTTCTATAAACCACCCAAGAATATGAAATGAAGTTATATATGGAATAACCCAATAAAAAGCTAGCTCTTCCATCAAGCCTAGTTGAATAAAACTAATTGTCAGTGTAAGCCAGAATGCATAAAAACCATATGTA